ACAGGGAGTGTTGATGCATTAAGAGTACATACAATTCTGCGCATGCTGAGTGCATGCTGGCTCTGTTATAGGCCTTTTTCTGTCCAAACCTGTTTAGGATTGTACAAATCCATACTAAGTAATCCCTGGTATGTGCATTTATAGCAGTCAGGAAAAAAACTTTTTAGTCTTCAGCAATGTTTCATGCTATACTCAATCCTTCAAACTATATTTTGAAGCCTTTGGCTTTGTCCCAGTCCTCTCCCCTCGTTCTCCTCTGCAAAAATGGGCCCCATGCCTGTAAATCTATTGTTTTAAGTTACTTTTCTGCCATGGATTCAGGTTTTGTCTTTTTGAAAGTTACGCTCTGTGATTTTCAGCACTTCAATTTGTAGGCCGATAGTCACACTGACAAAGGGAGGGTTTTGTTGATTCTTCTCATTAATTTCTGTGCTGTGGATTAACTGACTGGGTTTGGCTTCTCTCTCACACTCAACAATCCCTTTCCTGAAGTTGGACTCATACAGCTGAACCAGAAGGAGGTAGTTTGGAATTACGAAGTCACTGCACAGACTCAATGGCTAGCCTTAGGTTACATAGTTCCCTGTGCACCAGAGCTTCTCAGTTAATGAGGCAAATATCTTTTAGTAGAGGGACAGGCAACATTTTGGATCAATGGGCAAATCTGGAAATGTTAGAAACTTGACCCAGCCATAAAACCATGTCATGGGTGGCCATGGCTATTTACAAAGGACAAGGAAGCATTCGTGAGGAATTAAGATGGCAGCAGGCAGAGGCTGCCATGTTCTCTAGCGATCCCAGCTGCAAGTAGGAAAGCATCCCTAAAGCAATAGGAAGTATCAAGAGCTGTATGTCCAGTCATCATAAACAAGCAAAAATGTTGATGACAACTATTGTAAAATTTTATAACCTTCTAAGAATCAAAGGATTTACTATTAAATATGTGTATTTTCCAGGATAACCCATGAGACTTTTTAAAATCCCTTATGAATACCAGAGAAGGTTCTTTGCTGATTATATAGTCACTTAATATGGACAAGCAATTTTCACTCTATGTTTTTGTCATAAGTTAACCACCTCCCACCCTAAATGTTAATCATGTGCATCATTCTTGCTTAGTCAAGGAAGTTTCCCCGACATCTAATTACTAAATTCCTTCTACTGCTTGAAATTACAAGCTTAACAGATAGTATGACTAGCGTTTCTTGCTTTATTGGTACTTTTCTAAACAGGGGAAAAAGCAAGCTTGGCATATAGCTTTCCACATTATGCTTGTGTTAAAGAAACCAAAATGTAATTTTCTGTATTTCATTGTAAGCAAGCAAGCATATTTATCTTATTTACATCAGTCAGAAAATCTGAATTGTGTGTAAATTACAGACTTTGATATGTTAACAAATGTCAGCATGACAACATATAACAAATACATTCAAAAAGAGTGTGCCCTTAAAAGGATGGGACCTCAAGCATTTTAAAATATTACCCAAGTCATTTTTGAGGCTTCTGCATTCAACTGCAAAACTTTCTGAGATTTCATGTGAGATTTCGTCTGAGCTGGCCAATGAGTGCTCAACTTTTAGCATCCCTTTGTCCTAAACATATGATTATGTATGCATTTGGATGCATGCTTCACTGATAACAAGGGAGCTTCAGCAAGCATGTTCAACATGGCAGATCCAAATCTTTTTGGATATTAATGTGATTCCACAGTGCTTTGTTCAAACCCATGATTCTAATTTCTGTAAAAATTCTATGAATGTTATATGATAGCTTTTGACCAAATTTAAGTTATATGGAGCTAGATACATGTAATACAATGCATGATCCCCCATCCCATATGTAGTTTGAATCCGATCACAAGATGCGGCTAGCAGACTGCAACACCTCCCTATTTACAGCACAGTACCTAATACCCACATATTTAGGCCTTTGTTCACCTGCTTATGTGAGCAGCTAAGGCCAACCCAAACCATCAAAAGTGCCTATATCATATCAAAAGTTATATAAATATATCATGAGATTCTTATTTTCCTGCCTATTACAGCAATCCATACTACATGACTCACATGCACTATTAATTACTGGGAAAGGGATAATCTGCTGGGCTTCTACTTCCATGCTAAACAAAGAGAAGTAGTGATATAAGGCAGCCTTCCCCAACCTGGTAGCCTTCAGAGGCATTTGTACCACAACTCCAGAATTCCCACCCAGCAGGGCCATCGACTGGGAATTCTGGGTGTCGCCATCCAGATGTGTCTGGAAGGTACAAGGTTGGGAAAGGCTGATATAAGGAAGGGATGGAAACAGTCCAAAAAGAAAGAGACTGAAGAAAGACTGGATTTCAGCTAAACCTTTGGTAGTAAACAGAGAAAAGAGTATGCATTACATTACAAGAGCCAGAGGTTAGCTGGCACATGGCTAAGGAAAGGGGAAAGTAACTGATGAGTAACAGGAAGAACCAGGTGTTCTTGTGATGGAGTTTTGAGAGAAAAGGAAGGCTAACAAAGAAAGGAAAAGACAGAATGCAATCATGGTTACAAATGCTTTTTTCTAAGTAAAAGAGCTATGCCCTTTCTGAATTAACAGGAAAAAAGATGCTCATTTAAGTTGTGCGTAGTGATTTGAGTTCTGTAGCTTCAAAGTTTAAATATTCCCATGGATATCCCCTACCATGAATTTTTTAAACATATAATACAAGTTTAAAAAGTCCATTCACTGCTTCAACATAAATCTTCCCAAGGCATAAAGGCAGCTAAATGTTCAGTGGACCAAACTTTGGTCCAAGTGTGAGAGTCCAAGTGTGAATGGCAAGCGACAACAGAACCCAAAGTCCAATAGCAAATTCAAGTTGCAGTCACAGAACAGGCCAAGGTCAGGCAGCGTACATATGCATCATGCAGGACAAAGACATGATCAGGAAGAAGCCAAGGGTCAAGAACCAGGAAGACAAACAGAGGTGCAGGTACGTTGCAGCAGATAACTGGGAAGGGCTCAAGAGGAGAGAAGGTGCGACAACCAAGGCTAGGTAACAGGGTGGCAAAGTGGGGCATGGCATGGCACAATTCAGCAAAGCAAGACTTGATGATGCAGTCAGGCAAAGCAGAATGCACCAAAGCAGGATATGGCAAGGCATGGCAGGAACCAGATGCATCAAGTTATCAGGAAAGGTACAGATCTGCATTCTAGGCAAGACAGCACGGAAGGACATGGGAGAGCAGGAACCAGATGCAAGGAAAGACCCACATCTAGCGGGGAGACTTGCATTGCCAAGGCAACATAGCAAAGGCCAGGCCAGATGCAGGCACTACAGCAAACAGGAAGACCTGTGCCTCTGGGGCAAGTTGTGGAACGAAGAACTTTCTTTTTTACAGCTTTTCCCCCAGGACTTTCAGCTGGCACAGAGAGATCCAGCAGGGTCTGGGACCAATTTTGGGAGGCAGATGTTCTGATTCTGGCCAACAGTTGGAACCCTAAAGTAGTCCAGTTCCTGGTAGGATATGAGAATTGTGAAAAGAGTAATATTACTGACTTGTTGGTAAATTTCCTTTTTTCCCAAGCAGCAGTTCCCAAATGGATGGCCCTGAACTGTTGTGGATTATGTTCTCCATTATTCCTAGTCACCATCTATGCTGGCCCAGATTGCAATCCACATATTAAGACTATTTTCTAGGGCCTGACCTTCATAATTGTTTGCCACCCCTCCCCAAGTAATTCAGAGTATCATAGTAAGAGGAGATTCAGCTATTAAGTGCTTCGGCCTTTATAATTTGACTGGGAAAGCCTGTGGAAGTTAGAAGAGGACAATAATAAGGCTTGATTTTTATTTTATTTTTAAAAGAAATAAATGGCAATTTGATGAGATGGATCAAATTGCCAGTAAACTCAAGTAGGATGATCTGAAACTACTGCAAACTTTCACAAGCATTACAGGCAATTTGGAGATGCAAAATAATATGTCTTTCCAAGCCATGCATGCATGCATAATGAAAGACTGTACACTTTAATCACAATATTCATTCCCAGGTATGATCTGATGTCTGAAAAAGTATGATACAACAGGATCAGGAAAAAAATACACTTTTATTCTGATTGGCTGTTGTATGTGGGAAAACTATTTAAATATGAGCCAAAGTAAGAAAAGTCCTTAAACTACCAAGATTGCTGGAGCAAAGCACATATCAAGAATCCAACAAGAACTTCCAAAAGGTAAATATATGCATCGTTTCAGTTATCTATTGATTATTTTACATGAAACTCATGTTTTCTTTTCCAAATGACAGAAAATATTTGGCTTTTCTTGAGCATTTATGTGCTATGCTTTTCTTCAAAGTCCCTATAAACTTGAAATTAAAGATGTCATAATGCAAGAGTTTTCAAGATCTTCTGAAGAAAGGCTATTAACATAACTTAGATCCCTTGTTATACCAGCAGTTCTCAATATTTGGTTTAAAAATTACTTTGATTAAGCCCTTACCACAGATATAATTTCTTCTTCATGATCATGTAAGTTTCAAATCAAAGCTCTAAACTTGTTGGTGTTTTCCAATTAACATTCTGGCTCATTTCTTTTTTTAGTTAACCAATCAACTGACTGTTTGATTAAATAGGTGATAGAAGAATTAAGATGAAACTCATTTTGAGTCCAAGCAAGTCTATAATTTAGATGAAAACCTAGAGACTCTGGGGGTTGTAGGGTGATTTGCACTGAAAGGAAATAGAGTGGTTTAAATACAAATGTGGAAAACTATGTTCAAATGCACCTAGTCAGTTCCCTAATTCCACTCTTCTCTAACTTCTACCCTGATAGTATAAGCCTGTCATCCATATAGTTTTGGATGACGTGTTGCTTCTTTGCCATAACTTCCCCCATCCTGCCACTGGTAGGACTGCTCTGTTAATCAGTTAAGGATAAGCCATTTTCAACTCACTGTTTACTGAAAATTTTCTTAGTTGGATAGCCTACTGGCAATTCATAAGTTATATATGCATTAATATTGATTTCAATGAAGTTCTGTCAGAATTAGCTGCTTGCACTACACCACTAGAAATATAAACTATCTGCTAGGATGTTTTTTTGTGGGGAATCAGAAAAATGTCATTGTTAACGTTCTGTTTCCATCCGATATGCGACAGATGGAGGGTCTGGAGGAGGTACTAGCTCCACTGAGTAAATGTAAGACAAATTTTAGATATGCAATTAAATGCTTAGTTAATGATATCAATTGATAAAAGCCTACTGCAATGTTCTTTTCCCCACCCTCCACAATATACTCGTGTGTGTGTGACCATGTATAAAAAGAATAGTTTGCTGCACTGAGGAAAGACACCAACAAATGAATCATGGCACTAGTCCAATGTTAAACCAGACAAGATGGGCAAGGCTACAGCAAATGATGCTAAACAAAATTTAGGATGATCAGGAGTTATTTAAGTGATCATATTAACCCAAAGTTATGACCTATGCGCCTGGACTGTCACCACCACAAAGCAAACGACTTTAAGGCCCATTATTTGTTTCAGTAGAATAAACTGCTCTGCCTAATTCTTCCCCTGAGGTAAAGGGGACAGTGACTGGATTATATCCAAAGGAATTAACATTCAACAGAAACAAAGTAGCTCAGCTTACATCTTAAAAAGTTGGTTTAACAAAGAGCAGATATTAATTATGTACATTGTATGCTTTGACTTGACCTATCAAAGGGAAAAAGAATTCTCTTTATCATTACAGGACGTGTGATGAGAAAAATGGAGATCTGGACTTTGGTTATGTGCCTCTTAAGTATAACATGTGCTATTCCAGTAAGTGCTAATTCCAAATAATAGTTAAGAATTAATATTTAATGACAGGTGAAGCTGTACAGCATCCTTACAATGCAAACTAAGGTGCACATTTAAAGTACTTTTGATGTTCACATGGAGAGTGATCCTACGTATCACAGGATATGTTGGATTCTCAGATCTGAGGTCAGCAACAAAGCCCCCATTTGTTGCCAGTGCAGAAAGGACCATGCTGGTTGCCCCCGAGGCTGGAAAATCAACCCTGGAGATGGGGTTAAGCAGCATTAGGGGGGGCAGGAAGACAAGACTGGGACTGCTAGGGCTCGAGCTCTCCTTACGGTACTCGAACCTCTTTCCCGCTCCCTGAAAGTGCCTGTTTAGCTGAAATGGAGAAGAAGGGGCAGGGACCAAGGATCACCTCTGCCACCCCACCTCTTCTGCATTGCATCTCATCAGCCTCTCAGTTCACGGAAAATGCAACGGATGGGACTGATTGCACCCTTAAAACAATTGACTTTGGGGTTTCAAATTAATGCTAATGCTTGCAACCATCTCAAATGCTCCAACCATCCAAAGTCACAGTTAAAACGATAAAGGAAGGTGGATGATTAATTAAATTGTCTGGATGAAAACTTGTAATTTTCTTCCTCTTTCACAGCTGCCACAGCATCCTGGTTATATCAATTTCAGTTATGAGGTAAGGTTGGAAATGTAGTGTTTCACTTATATTTTTCACATTTAAATTAAAGCAGAATAAAAAAAATCATGATTCAAAGCTTACAGCACTGAATCTGCCAGTTTGTGTGAAATGCCAGTACTTTTAAACAACAGTGGTAGAAAGAGTCAAGTAGTCAATATTTTCAGGTGAAAGACCATTATTTAGAAGGCCATTATTCTATATGCTGACAAGTAAGACTTTATTAATAGAGTAGAAGAAAAAGTAAAGGTAGCAGAGAAATGGATTTAGGTGGATAGAAAAATAAACAGTGTTATTCGGCAATTTTAATCAGGGTGAATTTGATTTATATCAGTATGATTAGATTTAAATCATGGTTTTCTGCATAATTTGCATGCATGCCTGTCTTACCAGCAGGTAGAGGAACTTCATTAAAATATTCTCAAACTGAATCTCTTTTAGTGGCCTGCTGCCATTACAAATTTCTCATCCAGGGAAAAATATGATAAACCTTGGACAATACACAAAAAGATCAAAAAGCCTGTGGAGTATTCTGCTCAAAAGGGTATTCTGCTTGCCCCTCCCTCCTTCCAGTTAAGCTTTTTGTGCAGATCTTTTCCACTTCCAACAGTCTTCTTCTATTCATTGAACTTTTTGAAACTTAGCACTTAAGAGGTAAGGAGTTGATCCTGTGTACATAGATTTGCAAAGGAATAATGGGGTTTTTTCAACCCTGTATATTTTGTAACTTTTTTGCTGTGAAGAGGCATGTGATCTCTGCAGACACAAATTCACAGTTCTGAGAACTATAAAACCAAGCATCTGTAATAATATCTCCTAGACTGAAAAACTGTCCAATAATCTTACAGAAACCTCTGGAAAAGCGTGACATTTACCAATAAATGTGAACACTGCATGAATATAAAACCTCATGCTACGTAATTAAAAGCTAATCCTTATTTCGTGATAAATAACCTTTGGACTATAATGTATCTTAAACAGAAAACTTTCTTTAGATAATTTTCCTCAAAAGCATTTTATTTTTAAAAATTCCAATTTAAATAAAAAATCTAATTCAAATTTTTAAAATCTGATTTTTTTACTTTTAAAAAATAATTGATTTTTATCCACCCATATAGATGTGTATATTACTGAACAAATAGCCAATAAAATTAAATGCTTAGCTATATGTACTTTAAGTATTTCCTGATTTCAATAGAAAGAGAGACTTACTCGTAATATAGTAAAAACCAACCTACCACTTCCTTTGAAATGAAAATCTAGTCAAACTTCCCAGGAACATACATCTGGGAATACTGATTTTGTGTAATTCACTGGAAATGTAATTTATGAAAACCATTTATTTATGAAAGACATAGGAAGAATGGGATTGGAATGTTTCTAAATGACCTTTAGAATGACCAATGCATTTTCTATCAGGACATGTCACTCTGAAAACTAACATATTTTATACAAAGCAATTTATTTAAAATGCTTGTTACAGGATACTCAGAAATATCTCTGTTGATTTTGTATCCTCTAAGGTAATGACACCTTTAAAATGGTACCAGAGCCTAATTGGGCATCAGGTATGTTCCCTATGACCTTGTCACTCAAAAGAAACTGCATTTATAAATCCCACTGGTGCCAAATATTGCAACAAAACTCACACAGTTATTACAATTCTACACAGCTCTGGTTGTTTAAAATGCCCTAAAGTCTGGTCATTTTGTTGGTATAGCTTTCAGAAGTAAGTATGTGCTGTTCATTTGAACCAGGTTGTCGCTTGTCACACAGAAACAAGCTCTATGGAACTCATATCTACCTTAATGTTTCTCTATACATAGAGCTACAGAGACATTAAGAGAAGATTTGTTGAAGTAAAGAAGAATTAGAACAAAGCAATAGCCAACTGTTATTCTGTAGCAAAAGGGGGCTTAACAGCTGTTTATTTAAATGCATGCCCTGGTCTGAAGTCAGGATATGGTTGGTTGGTAGGTAAATAGATCAGGGTCTTTTCTGTGCCAGCCCCTAACCACAGAATTCCCTCTCTAAGCAGGTTGTATTTGCATTTCTTGCCTAGCTTCAGATGGGCTGTAAATACTTTGTTTAGGTTGGGTTGGATGGTTTTTCTTTCATTCTGCTCTCTGCTTTTTTTTAAAGATTATTGTGTTCTTACTTTGATTTGCTTTGAGATTCACTTTGTAAGTTCTATATTGCCTTGGGGATCTCTGGAGAGCAAGATAAAACACAGATAACAAATGTAAAGCAAAAATTAAGTACATGCAGAACAAACAGAACTTTATTAGGCGGAACAGAATTATAACATATTGCCTCAAATCCAGCAGGAAACTGAGACTGCCTTCCACTTAGCGAAAGTGCGGCCGTCCTTTAAAAAAAAAAAAAAATCCAGGTGGCATAATTGTTTTTTGTTCCAAGCCTGCAGAGGCCACTCCAGCTCAAGTTTCGTTTTGAGTTCCTGAGCCTGCCCTTAAAAGAGGGTCAGAGGCTCTGATGTGAGACTTGAGCTACATCTTATTTGAAGTTATTTTCTCTTGCTGTTCCATCTACATTGAACTTCCTGCTGCTGAGACAGTAGATGTAAGGGTTGGAAAAATGACCTTGTCACCATGTATGGCAAAGCACAAAAACGATACAGCAGAAAGAGAAGGAGGGACCAAACTTAGGATTGTTGCAATTATGAGAGGACCAAGCAGTTACTCTGTCTGTATGCAGATCTGGTAGAAAGCTATTCCCTAGTCCACAGTTGCTGTACTAACATGTCTTAACATCCATGGACCCCATGTGGTGTTTTTAGAATATCATAAGATACAGATATTTGCTCAGCAATATCTTAGAGTAGCCACTATGGTGACACTTTTGCTGATTTTTAGTCATTCTATTAGAACCTCTGCTAACAGATCTTCCTTCTTCTTGTTAGTATCCACGCTATGGCTATGAGCCCATGGGAGGATGGATGCACCACACTTCAGGGCCAATGCTCCACCAAACTCATTTTCAAGGGCTCCATCCAATGCATCCACCTCTCCACCAAATGCAGCCACAGCAGCCATCTCTGAATCCACAGATGCAGCAACCTGGGCATAGCCCATTCGTGCCAATGACTGGGCAAAGCAACGTAATACCACACTATCAACCGGCTCATGCAGGACCAGCCCAACATCCCCTCCCACCACATGCAGGAGAGCACCCAATGCAGCCCCCGCAACCAGGGAACCCAAATCATCCCATTTATCCCCAGCAACCAGGGAATCCCAGCCAGCCAATGTATCCAATTCAGCCACTGCCTCCATTAATCCCAGATACACCTCTTGAATCGTGGCCAGTTGACAAGACTAAGCAAGAAGAAGTGGTAAGGGAGCATTCATGTAATCTTATACTTTTATTTTATAATAGCCTACTTGTACATGATATGCAAAGTGTGTGGCCTCCAGAACTTTAGAAAGTGCATCCTTTCTAAAGGTCTTCCAGTTCTTCCTTTAGATATATAGAAGCATTGAAAAATCAGACCCTATATATTATCCAGATGTATCAAGTGGCACATTCCTGGTTTACCACTCTGAGATGCATCTCAAAAAAATTACCACGATTAATTGTCTTTGGCAAAACAAGAATGGTTCAGCATCTTGAAAGTCTGCTAGCTTACTGTTGCAGAATCTTCCAGGGACATCCTGAAAGTTGCACAGACTTTTACCCATATGAAATGGGCACACTGAAGTTGCCTTATTAACCAGGATCATTAAAAGATAACATCATTACTCTTTATCTGTAAAACTAGGCAAAGGTGAAATTGTGCCTCCAAATTCTTTTCCCAACTAACTACCATACTGTTAATGCTGCTGGAGTTAAATTTCACACACAATTTT